CCCTGCGTACCTCCATAGGCAAAGTCCGGGAGAGCACCGTAATTGGTGCGCAAGTTAAAAATAAGTAGTTTCCCAGTCGAAATCTTTTGAAATGACAATAGTTATCCGTAACAACCGTTACAAAGTTATCTGAAACTAAAATGTCTTTAAAAAGCGACTAGTAAAGACGGACAACTTGTAAACGCGGAGGTACCGGAGGAATTATTCACCAAACGCCGTCATTTTAAGTCCCGGACTTTGTCTATGGAAGTTCGCAGGGCTGTGGTGGGACCATCTATCAACCGAACACGTCCCCGTACACACAGCACTGTACGCAGGGCTATTCCACAATAGTTTAAAAATAGGCTACAAAGTGAAGCTATTAGACCCAGGGCTAAACTTCCAGTCAATATCATCTCTGATTCTAGCCCCCTCCTCCAGGAGATATTGGACAAAGTGGGAAAATAGGTGACATTCATTTCATATGCTGGAATTAATCTACCAACCCTATACAACTTCAAGTTTGCTTGGTTCCAGTGGGGATTTTCTTAATGTACTTGACCCAAGGAGTAGAGCATTTGCCTAATATCACAACATTACTAGTACTGTAAATCACTAATTTTCACTGGGTTTAAATTTCGCTGATTTACCATTTCAGGCACATTCAGTAGGTTTTAAATTAACAGTGTTATCATTTAGATAATGTGTTCTATGCTAAATTTTACATATTCACTGGGTTTTAATTTAGCACATTTTCAAGTCAGCATAGTACTAGTAAGCAAAATTAAAACCCAGTGAATAATTAATCCTTTTACAGTAATTTCCAAATCGCCCACTAAGTAATTTTTCTCAAAGTTGGATGGAGTCAGGAATGTTATTGACTGGAACACAATGCTGTAGCAGAGTTTGGTATATTGATTGTTAACACAAGTTCACTTTTTCAAAATTGTCCAACTTTTGTTTTTTATTTATATTTTATATTATACTTTTAATTGTCGTGGCTTTGTTTTTCTTTTTAATAACTTTATTACATTCTCAGTACCTAGATAGAAATGCATAATTTTTCTGTAATAATAATGATAATATTAATACTATCACTATATACTTGTCTAGTGACAAGGAAAATTTATATCACGAAAATAATCATAGGCACTGTTTAACACAGTGTTTCACAGTGCAAATAGTTTGCAGAACTATTGACATAGACATGGGTTTCAATGACGTAGAATGACCAGGGTATAAAAGCTGTATTTTCTGTTATTGTATTTTATACTGTGAATTTTGCGAAAGATAAAGTCTGTGAATATCTTGAAATTTTATAATCATTACGTTCAATTACCCACCATAGTCTCCAGTCAGTCAAAATGACTATTTTGAACTGTAGGTGATTCAGCCAACAGCGTTCAATAACACAAAGTGTCAACAACTCCCGCAAAAGTTTTTCTTCACAAATGACATAAAAATCATCAAATTGTGAAAATTGCTAGCAGAGAAAATTAATCGTTTAACAGCACAACACCTGCCACATGGTGACAATATCTCCTAAGCATATAATAGAATGAATATGGTAATGTTGCATAACTTCTGCTGGTGGGGATTTGTCTGAGTCAGCTGGCGACTGATATTCAATTGTCCATGTGAGCATTGTATGACAATAGTGTCCCGGTACTGAGTATTTGCTTTGTATGATGTCATTTTCTTTCAACATGTTATTAAATCTAAAATCAAGTTTCAAAGTGAGTTTGATGGTGAAGTTATTTTTTCCAACATTTGTTTTCATCCTATATATTTTTGTATACTATTATAATTCACTAGATTCACAATTTGTGCAAATTATTTTTGAACTTGTTGATGAATACGAAATGAATCTAAAAAAGGCATTTCCAATAAATCACTTTTACAGCTTACACAAGTTTTTACATATATTATTAGAGATGCAAATCTTATGTCCATTTCTACTTTTGACCATTCATCAGTAATTACCAAATCTATATCTGTTTTTCAGTTATATATTGTCCTGAGGTACTTAAAGCAGGGAATCGTCATTGTTTACAAACAAGCGTCTACCCATGAGCCTTTGCATTTTTAGCATGTGTTGTTATCGACATTTGGGACTCAATTCTCGCACGTGCGCAGGTGACGACCCTCTCGCTTTAATAATGTTGCTGTTGTACTCATTTACTATATTTTGTATGTTTTTTCCTAGGCGCCGCCAACAATGGTTACTGTTGAACAAAGGCATTCGGCTGAACATGTCTTGTTGTCATTCAAGAAATCCAAATCACCGTTTGCAACATGTAAACACATACTCGGTACGTTGTAGTTCAATGAATGAATCAATCCTAAACTTAATCCTCATTTTGTATTACAACCACCCTCACATTGTTTCAATGGTTTACTTCTTTGTTTATTATCTGTATGACTACTGACCACTTTACTATTATAAGAAAATTTGTTAATATCCTGGCATGTTGGTATGTTTTGCTGTATATACATCTTAACCAGCCAAGGTTCGCTTATTGGCCATCACTACCTTGGCAGATCTTGTCCAGTGAGTGTGTTTTAAAGTGCGCCCTCAGTGTCAGTTTGTCATTCCGCCATTTTGTTTTATTTTCATTGCCATGATCTACATTTTTAGATGCTCATCCAATCAGATCTACCAAGTAAAATATGTGATAGATTCACACACAGATTTGTGGGGGAGTGTGTTTTTATGTCAAGTTTGAGTTTCAAATGATGATGTACTATCTATACTATTAATAAAGAATATTTGTAGTACACTTATCCTCAGATGAGTTTTAAGCGCATCACAAAATGGATTAGAATTTCAAATTAAATCAGCTAATGTTTTCTCCCTTTGTTACAGAAAGCAGCAAAGTTGATTACGTTTTATTCCAAGCTGCATCAACCATTAAGGAAGCTGTGGCCAGAGAATGGTCTTTACTGGATATGTCCGAGGTGGAATCTATGAGATCTTTTCTACTTAGATATGTTACACAGAAACCACAGTAAGTATCTCTAACACTATTAGTGTAGCACAATGTGTTGTAAATTAGTCAGGTAATAGTGGTCCCTCAAATGTCTTGTTCTCAATGCAAGTTGTTTTTGTTTTAATACTCTAAATTCCATTCATTTAATAGTCCAAATTTTATTGCAACATTTTACAGATGTTGATGCATTTGTCTTAAATTTCTTTAAATTAAACCAAATGGATGTGATTTCTGATTGCCTACATGGGCCACTTTCTCAATTTCCTTGTATTAAAATGAATACTATATTAATCTGTAGTTTACAGAGTTATGTTCGAGAACAGATTTTACAAGCGGTAGCTGTTATCGTCAAGCGGGGCACAGTAGATCACAAAACTACGGAACGTGAGGGAATATATAACGATGTCACAGAGCTGATTGCAAGTGGTGATTCCTCATTGGTAAGTGCAAACTGAAATAACCTATTTTGAATAATAAATACATGTATGTAAAAAAACACTGTATTGATTTCTACTTTTGATTTATGAATTAAATATAGTGACTCCTCGCTAAGTAACGGGTGTCGGGATCCAAACAAAAAACTTGACTTATCGGGGGTCATGACTTACCGAGGGACCTCGTGCAAGGGGGGTTCATTTATAGTATGTTTTCTTTATTGTGAAACGTTACAGCTTTATTGATGTGATCATTGATTATTGATGGATTCAACTCATTGTAGCGAGTTACCAGTATATATCAAAGGGGACTAACTGAGAAGTACGTAAAGTCGCGACGTGACACCCCGTCTCTTCCAGCCCTTTAACGGCCATTTAAATACACAATGCAACGAAACATTAGTTCTTTTACTTCAAATCTGTCAACAAAACACAATAGAACTACCCGCAACTTAGCCGAAATCGCGACTTAATGACACTGATAGCAGTGTTCAAATATGATGAAACTGAGCACCACACCACTGCCTTACAGGACACATGCATGTACCATCTAAGTTGCTTTCAAAAGCTATGTTTAGTTGAACTTGGATCTATTGAGTCATTGAACTGATTTACCGGTAAACATATTTTTTTTTGATATTTTAGAGATAACATACAATGTATAATCAAGATTCCTCATATCTATTTCAGCAATTGGTGGCGTGTTCCATATTAATTGCACTTCTAAATGAATATTCAAGTTCAAGTCGTTCCAGTGACGTTGGACTCAGCTGGGAATTCCACGCCACTTGTAAAAAAGCATTTGAGGTAAAACTGTCACCATGCTTCATTGTAACATGTATAGACAACTGTCTATAATCCAGTTTTGTTTTGGTGTATAGGACAATTTAATCAATAGTTTATGAGGCTAAGGCTCTACACTTTAATCATCAGGGACTTGATTCAAAAATCTTTTTTAACAACCCAAGGATGTGTCATTTATGAAGTCCATGCATATTTTAAAACAGCCTAAACATGGTACATTCATTTTGAAGGTGGTTTACCAATGTTTGAAAACAAATTCAAAAATTTTTTAATTTTTATTGGAAATTTGTCAAAAAAAACCCACTGTAATGGATTTGAAAAGGGATAATGTCTCCTTGTTTAGAGATAAGCTCCATTTTTAGAGAAAAATGAAAATGTGTGTTTTTGAAGTTGAAATTATTAATTTCCTTTTTCTTTCTTCACAGAACAATGATTTAAAGAGAGTATTTTTATTTTCAGTCCAAGTATTACATCAGTTTGCAAATAATGATATTTTATCGCGGGAGACCACTGCTGTATTTAATAGATTTTTATCCATAAGTGAGCAAGTACTCAGCTGGGATTTTACTCACGCAAATGATATCCTTTTTCTGTTGCTTTCTAATGCACGATAATAATGTTACTTTTTGTAGCATCATGGGCTATTCTATTTGATTTTCTAGGGGTGTTGACAGTGTGCTACCACCATTATTAAGTTTGTGTACTAGGTGTATCTTAAAGCCCCGGTTCTATGTCCCTGGGATTGTAACATGTGCTTATATGAAAGTCTGGGCTCGAGGACTGGAATGTCCAATCATTACAGTGAGCGCAAGATATTTACATACACCTAACTCCCGCACCAGGTAGGTAATTACAGAGGGACTTTGCAACATCCCCAGACACCTTCCTAGACACTCCAGTAGCCGTTGTAGACTCAATAAAGTTATATACACGTCTACGTGACAATTAATCAAAACAATGGACCAGAGTTTCAGATGGGTTCAACTATTACAACGTGTAAGCGTCCAGTCAAAGATTTATCAAACAATCATGTTTTACTCGTTTTTTATCGGACACATTATTATTTCATGCATACATATGTTGGTTCATTTAATAAATTCTATTTTGAACGTTTCGCAAAAATAATTAACCTAGTTAATACTAATATTTAAAAACGCCCCTAACATATAATGAAATTATCTAAATTATCTTTGTGAGAACAGTTTAGTTTTGAATGCAGTTTCTGATTTTGAACAATTATTGCTATTATGTCAAGGCACTTAGCTTAGTTAGACGAAGACACTGAGATAGAGATTATTCGCCTCTTGCGAATGATCGACGACGGAGGAAGTTGACTAACGAGGGCAACGGTTCAAGGGATTGTGCGGCATTTCTGTCAAATCGGTTGGATACGTTCCAAGAGGAGTAGCGGCCTTCGTCGACTGAATGTTACACAAAAAAATCATTGAGTTTATCGAATTTTGTCTGAGATCTGAAGGATATTTGAAAGTGGTATATAGGGACGGTGTGGAGGTGAAACTAAGTAGAAGATTCCAGGGAAAGATTAACTGGGCGATGATTGTTCTGGCAATGGGAACAGCCATTATGTGAGAAATTGAACTGGACAATCACAACGCTAATATTATTAATATAAATCCATTGACAAAATCTCAACAAAATACCAATCAAAAGAATTTACATTTATCATTTCTTATTAATATTTATTTCAAGTTTTATGTTAGTATTATATTTCTCCCAAGTGTTACACAGCAATGATTATTGTATCTACAAAGCAATGGAATAGTCCAACTACCTTTCGCTCCTCGTGGCCAAACTTCAAAGGCATACCGCGTCCGGTGTTTTGATTAACTGTCACGTAGGTGTGTATGTAACTTTATTGCGTCTACAATGGTCATTGGAGTGTCTAGGAAAGTGTCTGGGGATGTTGCAAAGTCACTCGGTAATTACCTACCGGGTGTGGGAGTTAGGTGTATGTAAATATCTTGCGCTCACTGTAACACTTCCTTGATAATATACAGATAATCTTTATTTAATTCATATACCATATTTATTTATGCAATTACATAAATAACACAGGTGTGTTGATGATCAAACAAAGTTGTTTTAATGATCCAATATACAATAAAAGCAAATGTAGGTGAATGTGTATTGAAGATGTACTTCTAATAGAGTAAATACAGTATTAACCTTTTCACCACCTGACTTTCTCGCCCAAATTTTTCTGCACTTTTTTCTTATATTCTTCAATATTTGTGGAAATAAACCCTAATTTTGGAGCCGATAGACAAAATTTGAGTAAATTTTCAGTTATTACTCAAAAATTTTGTCCCAATTTTTTGAAGAAAAGTGCAGACTATATTTTGTGATGAAAAGAGGGAACTGGTGGTGAAAGGGTTAATTGTTATTAGCTTTAGATTCGAAAACATTCTAGATTCTAAGATTTGAAACTTGTTCAAGCATTCAGTTATTTTGGACATTGTTTTTGTTAATCGCAGTGAAATTAACTGCTAGGTTAGGCTGTCCTGGTTGACAGAAAAATATGCCTCAAAGTTGACAGTTTTATTCATAAGAGTTTCCACATGTTTTACTATGAATTCCTACTGCTTTGTACTTTTAACATCACTCCACTCCTGGGATAGTTAGTAAGAATTGCAATATTTTTCCTTGACTTGTGTTCCTCACTTTTAAGAAGAAACGTTGGAAGCTTTGACAGCAACCAGGGTACATTTTTTAAGCCCATCGCCACTTGGAGGGGCACCGTCTTAGATCAAAATTTAGTAGATCTGTTTTTTAAGGTAAGTTAGATTTAAACGTCAGCACACAGCCATCATTGCTTTTATGCTGTAGTGTTAAATCCCTGTATCTGTGCAACGATGCAGCGATTAGTATGTTTGTCTGGGATGTTGATGGATTGTTGTTGTTCACTTATAAGTCCGATCTCCAAAGATTTGATATTCAGTTAGCTTACTAGCATGTAAATATGCATCTTACTAGATCACAGTCATCTTTGTTGAAAGATTGATCTGTTTCCTCTTGATAAATGCCTCATTTCTCCAAAGTAAAAATATTACATAGTTCTGTATTGCAGATTGCTAGTAAAGTGCGTTGACCTCTCACTGAAAAGCAGTATATGATTCAAGGAGACCTGATTTAACTAAATAATAATATAAAACATGATATGATTTCTGAAATGATCAAAAGTAAAATATAATATGCATGCATGTTGATTTGTACGTTGTGTTTGTTTTCAGCTTCATTTAAAAGTTCGTCATAATTCTGAGATGGGTCACCACTCGCTACAATGTCTCACACAACTAGCGTCACTGAGCGGGAATATATTCCCTGATGAGAAAACACAGTGCGAATATCTCGGCCGCTACATACAAGGATTTCTGCATTTTATAAACAGGTATATTTACGAGCTCACTTCACAATGCAGTTTCATGCAGAGATATTACTAAACTAGCTTATCCTCCTAATTGGCCAGTGAACCAGATCAATTTGCCTATTTGGATTGTGTAACCATTTCGTCATTTCGGTTAGTAGATATATCATACTAATTGGCCAATCAATCATTGATTTCTAATGCACCATTCTGATTGGCCAATATACATTTCTGATCGAACCAATATGGGTGGACTATAGACCATTCTGATTGGGCAATGAACCATTCTGATTGGCCGATGATTCAATCTAACTTTGTTTTATGGGTTAATTAATATTTTGAGGAGGTGAACTGCTTGACATGCTGTAAAGATGGCTTTGTTTTCAATACTCAATCACATTTTGTTTGTTATGCAGTGTTGAAGTTGCTGACCACGAAGCCTTGGGTATTTCTAATATTATAAATAGATTAGTTACAGTATTTCCCATTGGTGTGATGGTCAGGTTACCACTGGAATTATTAGATCCATTTATTCACACATTAGCGGAACTTACCTGTCAGTTTGGGAGAAAAGCTGCTTTAGAAGAAGCTGTAAGTATATTAGGTTTGTCCTCCGTCTTTGTGAGTACCGCTTGTCTGTGCAAGTGTAACATGATTAATAAAAATAAAAATAATAAAGTTACCTTAAGAATATGGCAAGTATGCACACATGTGCTGTGATACAATTATGCTCCTCATTCATGCGTTTTAATTGCTAGGTATACAAACGTTACCGGACGTTAATCTTATGTGCACACATCATTGTCTGCTATGAGAAGACATATGCTATGTTCACACGGCAGCATTCTATCGGAGCCGAACTACTTCTCCTCCCACGGATTATCTCCAATGCGTTCATACGATCGGGAGCCGAACGAGAGCCGAGATCTGCCAGAGTTTGATTCAGTTCGATCAGAGTCGAACGGAACAGTGCCCTTGAATAATTAGTGACTGAAAACGATTTTAGTGTCGTGCTTGTGTATTTTCTTTACATGGCATGATGCTGTTGAGCTAGGAGAAAAAAAGAGCCTGAGCATGGAGGTAGAAAAGACAATGACTGGTATTATGATTTAGGTACTAGTATCTCGAATAAACAGGAAACACGGCAGCTAAAATGCGTTTAATACAGGCTATTCGCTCAAGTTATTGTCATGCAAAATTACCATTTTGTAACTATTCAACTGTAGTGATATCTAAACTACTAGGAAGAATCACAGATTCTCTCTATCTATCATAGAGCAACTATGGAAGAATCTAAACCTACCAGGAACACGTCACCGTACCGCGATCGCTTCTTTATCTTTAGTGTCTTTAAAAAGTTTCCGTTCTTTCAAGTTTTTGTCGCATAATTTCGTACGCCATTTATTGTTTCCCGTTGAGCTATCAATATATCGCAATAATTCGTTACTATATATTAGGACGCGTACCTCTTATTCAAGCCGGAAATTGCGTGAAATTATGAAAGATGTTGTCTCCGCCATAATTGAAATGAGAGGTTACTCGAAGAAGACGATTGAGGGCGTGATTTCGGCTCCGATAGTTGGGCCCGATGCGTTTACACGATCGGAGCCATGTCGGGACTCAACCCTATCGGAGTTCAACCCGGAGGGTTTAGTGGAGCCGAACTTGGCTCGAGCTGAACGCGTTTACACGGCCATTTTTGCTGGCTCGAGCCGTTGGGCTCTGATAAAATGCTGTCGTGTGAACGTAGCAATATTGTCACCAACAGTTTGAATTAACACCTAATTTTTGATTGACAGTCTTCTGAAAACTTGCATGGTTGTATAAAATGAGAGTTGTGCTTAATTCTTACTCAACTATTAACCTTTTCCCCATCAGTTCCCTCTTTTCATCACAAATTCACAAAATAGTCCTGTTTATAGTCTGCATTGAAATCTGGTTGTCGTCTCCCCTTCGTATACTAAGAGCCATGGTTTAAAACACCATAAGCTACCACAAAGAGTAGTGCACTTTATAGCTCATGTGTACATTCAATTTCATGTTCATTTATGATTGATCTAGTATGCATCTCTCGGGACCAATGCGTAAAGTTTTCATACATGTTTTTGTAATAACATCATTATCTGTTTATAGATACACAAGGACGATATGATTCACATGGAAGCGTTTGACCAGTTACTCGATGCCTGGACCACGTTATTGATGGATACGCAGTATTTTCAGTCTGGTTATTTTAAACCGCACGCTATGGAAGTGTTCAATACTTACGTGCAATGTCATTTGGCAGTTCCAGATGGAACAAGGAATCAAGTGAGTTGAAGAATTTGCTTTTCTTGTTAATTTTTTACCAAATGGACATAATTTTCCATTGCTACAGGTGTTGTTTGAGATGGTTAAAAAATATGAAAAATATTTGGTGAATGTTTACAAAAATAGACTTTGGTGTTCAATTGGTGACAATTCACTACGTTCAATTACCCACCATAGACTCCGGTCAGTCAAAATGACTATTTTGAACTGTAGGCATTAATCAGCGATTCTGCAGGTGACAGAGAGATAGAATCTAGGTCAGAGGAAGCCCCATGACCCCAAGATTCTCTTTCCCTTACGTCACGAACCACGTGACCGAGGCCATATGGCAGTGCCATTAACGGCTGTACAATCACTCTTCTTTCATCTCTGCCTCGTCGGGAATGATTCTGAGCGGCTCTGCCTGGCTCTTTTGCTTTTTCCTGTCCGGGTTTCTAGCTTGGGTTGTTGCCGCTGGGTGGCATTCAACATTCTTACTGGTAGGATAAGTTTTTCTTGTCTTCTTTACCCTCGTGTCGTTTTCCCCTTTGTGTGTAATATTTTTTTCCACAACAAAGAAATTAAAACCCGGCGCCACTACGTAACCACTTGTTGGTTTCGTGGCGGCACCTTTTACTACTGTAATTCGCTTCCCTCATGCATGTCGTCTTCATTTTATGCTTGATCTATGTATTTAGAAATGAATAGATGTAATGACAGCACCAGGGCTCGCTGCCGTTTTTTGTTGGTCTCCTCGTGTTTCGAGTCGACTGTGCAGTGGTTATATTCAGAATTCACCAGCATAGAACCCGCATCCGAAATACTTTTGTCGTAGCTGGGTTCGGGGTTTTTGGCCGTGAAGGTGTGTGTTTTTGTGAGATTTTTCTTTCAGAGCCATCAAAATCACTGAGACTGACCGCGTCGCTCGTTTCTTCACAGCAAGGTCGCGCGTCCAGTAAACAAATCGGTTAAAGTGAGTGCGTGTTTGGCATGAGTGGAAAGTCCTCACGCTCGGCTACCGGTGCTTCGTGTACCGGGACGTCGAGTAGGAGGCCCGATGGTGGAGGTACCAATATTTTTTCTCGGTCTCCCCCCGCTGATCGGAGGGCATCCTAACAGTCTGTTTTTTCAGGCAGTGGTTTACCCGATTTTACCGGCTGCAGCGAGGCTGTGCCCCTGGAGGCTTTCCTCCTATGGGGCCCGTTGCGGGTCCCTTTGTAGACCCTTCCTCGCACGCCGCCGGGTTTGCCTCCGAGTTGAGGGCTTTGGTCGAAGGACTGTCGGGGCAATTGCGTCCCTGGCAGGCCGGGTAGATCAGACGCAGTCGGAGCGAGCTGTCTCCACTGCGGCCCCTCGGTGGGCAAGCAGGAAGAAACACGAAAGCATGTTTGCATTCAAACACGTCTCTTCCGGGGAACCCCCGTTTGTCATGAGACGCACAGTCGAACACGCTCCCTCTCACATATTTAAAGTGAAAGGAGACACAGTTCGCTCGCGTCGGATACAGCCGGTACTCTGGGCAGTCCCTCAGAGTCTTCCATCCGTAATGACTCGGTGAGCCACGCTTTTGGGGTGATGCGGAGTATCACCGATCCCAGTGATACGATGTAAATACCCCCACCCTTGATCCTAAGGCGACCACCTAAGGTTGCTTCAACGCTTATGGGATCACGGGCGTCGGGATCCAAAGCAACCCCGTCGACACGTCTCTCCCTGTCCGTCTGAGTGCGGAGTGCGCATGGACACGCAAACGGGTTGATGGGCGGACGTTGGTCAGCCGCGGAGGACGTAATGCTTAAGGCCCCCGAGTGAGGAAAACCTTAGCAACACTTCCCGCTGGACCAAACGCTACACGGTCGGTGTGGTTT